TTTATTTGTTGCTCATTTTCTTTGTTTTGTTTTGTTTTCTTTCCTTTCTTTTGTTTTGTTTTGTTTTTTTGTTTTCTTTCGTTGCTTTTTTTGTTTGCTTTGATTTGTTTATTTTCTTTTGTGTGCTGTAAGACTGGCGTCAAACTAAATTGCCCCACTTGGAATGAATAAAGTTGTTTTCATTAATCTGAATTTAATTGATCATAATTCTTCCAAAGTTTTCTTTCAGGTCAAAGAAAAAAACGAGGCATTCAAATTTAAGGAACTAAAATAAATAAAACATGGATATATCTTAAAACATGAGTTCATGCTAATGCTAATGAGCTCATTATAACGAGAGGAATCCGATTAAAAATAGATTTTGTGGTAATTATGTGACACAAACACAGATAAAGGTCTGTGATAACTACTTGTGTACAGCTGACTGACTGACCCACCGAGGCACCAGGTCCGGTTGCTGCTCAGCCTGAATCCCTGCGAACACACACACTCGTAGGACCCCGGCGTGTTCACACACTCTCCTCTGGGGAAGCAGAAGTCGCCCTCCAGACACTCGTTTATGTCTGAGAAGGCAGAAAAAAATGGATTCAGAGTTTAGTGAAAAGGAGGAGACATGGAAAAGAGACGTTCACCGTCATGGTGTCCAAACTTTGGGATATTTAAAGGAACACGGTGTAGGAATTCAAATAAGTAAGCTAAGTTAGCTTAAAGTTCAGGTAGCAAAGTCAGAATAAGTGTCTCAGTCTCTACCTGCCAATAAAAACCCTTTTTAAAAGAAACTACAAATGTCTGTGGGGGCCCCGGGTGCCTGACTGGGTTGGTGGTTTTGGGGGCCCTCGGATGGGGCTGTCTTGCGGCCTGGGGCGGGGTTCCCCTGGGGGCCCTGTTGCGGCGGTGCTAGCTCCGGACCGGGTGGCCGGTCTGCTCGGGCACGGGTCGGGGTCTGGGCCTGGGCTCTGGGGTCGGGGTGCCGCCTCCCCGTCCTGGGGGGTGTCCCCCCTCCTTTTGTCTGGGGGTGCTGGGCTGCCCTGGGCATGCCATGACGGGCGGGTGGGTGTGTGCCCCCTTTGGCCCTCGGGCCCCTCGGGGGCTCTCTGGTGTGTCCGGGTCGCTAGTGGTGGGGCTGGTGGGGCGGTGTCCTTCTCTGGCGCTGGGGGCTGCGTGGGCTGGCCGGGGGGCAGTGGGCCCAGGGCCAGGCCGCTGCGAATGAGGTGGCTGCACGGTGTGTTTGTGTGATGCGTGCCCCCCACCCCCCCCCCCC